CTGTAACTGAGTAAACGGAACATATAAACGTTTTGAATGATAAAATAAAGACAATAAACACTCGACTGCGACAATATAGTTTATCTGTGTTATTCAAGCCATCTCTGGTATTTTCATCATAATTAAGTATATATATATAATCTATTGTTAATCGATGTATTCTTTTTAAAGTAGCCGATGGAACATATTTTCTGCCTCATTCTGTGACAAGAAGCCACATCAGATCACAAAAGGAAGCATCTGACTGGTGTTGTGGAGTAAAACGGTTATAATGTTTTCTTTTGTTGGACAACAGGTTTAGAAATGTGAAGACAAGGGAGGTTTAGATTTAGGCGTTTTAATTTAAGCATGTTTAGCTTAGTTAACGGAAGGCATCAGAGCAAGTGTAATTACTGCATTCACGCGCTCCTCGGATGCTCTCATTCCCCGAGTTGTGCTTTTAAGTCGGAATGTGAAAACAACATGGACACTCGCGTTACTACAAAGATGTGTTGGATCTGTATTATTAGAGCTTTCCGACTCGAGTTCACGTGCGTTCTCTCAGTCGGGAAATTATTTTTCACGTGCGGTGCCGGCAATGATGCTTCTTACGTTCGTTTCGGAGAACCTGAGGACAAATATTTCAATCGATCGCTCAGGCATGGCACCGAAATCTGCGTTCGGATTCGGTTCTAGTGCATACCGGTTACACAGGTACCGGTGCCATATTAGTACCGGGTTTCGGTACCCAACCCTAGCCTGGACTATTAGCCATCTTCAAGAAATGAATAAAAACACATCTCTTCCATCTTTATTTGACCCTCTAACTCTAGCACTCTCTATTCTTTATTAGAAGACACATTCTAGCACAATTCTATTCTTTAAAAAAAAAAAAAAACTTGCCCCTTTTAGACTTGCACTCTATTCATTTACTAACTGCTTGTTTTCTATAAAAAAAGAAAAACCTTGCTCTATTCTTTTTCTTTTCCATCTGTTTTCTTTTTATTTATAATATAATTTTAAAAATACAAGAACAACAACAACAAAAAAACACCTTGCTATGTGTACTGCATTAAGCTAACTGAGACTTGCATATCATTGCTCTTTTGTTGATTCTGATTGCTTCTATTGTCCTCATTTGTAAGTCACTTTGGATAAAAGCATCTGCTAAATGACTAAATGTAAATGTAATGTTAATGATTATTAATCATGTAAATACAAAGACAGCTACCAGGACCGAACGGATCTACATACGTACATGTGCAACATGTTAGAGCAATTTCCTGTGATAAAATCATGTGTCGGATTTTTATTTTAGCTCTGTTGTACCGCATGTGTAAAACTGTTCTGTAAATACATGAATGTCTCCTTTTGTTCTAGTATTGAAAAAGTGTTTTTTGGTGCTGTTTAAAATCCATGTAGACATGAAACCGTTAACTACTCTTGCAGATCTATAGAATGAGCACTGTACTATTATATCTTTGTAATGGATGCATTTTATAAAACACTATCTTTGTCTTTTATTAAAATAGCAAATAAAAAACATCAGTGAACTGAAATGCAAAGTCTGAGGTGATTCCATATAACAAGACACTTGGCACAAATACACAAATGTAAATCTACAACTGTCTTATGTTCATCATCACACAACATGCGGACATGTAGCTCCTGACTTCCCACTGCTCGTTAAATTTACTCAGCATTAATCAAATTAAAAGAGCTTAATAAAAGTGTCTGAAATCAGAGGTTTGAACATTTGAAGTAAAAACTAGACGATACTTACAGTATATCAGTTTATCTTTGAGAGCTGCAGGACATCTGAACTACATCAGCCTGATCTTCTGCTGTATCCTGATGTGTGGAAGAGGGAATCAAACAGGTGGGACTAAACTGGAAAACAGTCATTTATTATGAGTTTGACATTAAGAAATCTAGCGTAGAGTTAGTTCTGGCAGGTCACGTTAGTCAAGCTCGCATCAGCTGACTCTCAGCTGATCCCCATCTACCTATAGGAATACGACACCTATCTAAGCATTCATATATAAGGTCCCTCAGTATTATCAGCAGTTTTCGCATTGCTCAATAGCTAATTAAATGGTGAATTCGGCAGGCAAAACACAATCAGCAGGACTCACCTCCGATTCATTCAAGTTCGTTAACTTAAACACGTGAATTCACCGCATTGATCATAAGCTGCCTGATTCGGAAGTAACTGAGTTAGCATTACTTCACACATCTCTATATTATTGTCATGGACTCCACGAGTTATGTGACTGACTCAAGAGCAAGTTCAGATGGGAACTTCATCCGCAAGATGGCTATCAAGAGATCAAGCATCCACCTCTCTCGAACGTCTTCACAAGCTAAGTTCCATTTAATGCTCTCAGGTTATCTGCAACATGCGTGTTGCTAAGGCTATCCATGTTGCTTGGGCTCATTAAGTTGTTTTCAGTTAAATGCTTATGCTAGTTCATGCGAATGTGCGGTACTTATCTGTTGTCACTGGCAACACGCTTGTCGCTTCAATATGCTGCGCTTAACGGGGGGGTCTAATGCGATTTCATGCATTCTGAGTTATTTACACTGTTAAGAGTTGGATTCTTATGCGTGTGCGTGCACTCAGCGACCCAAGCGAGAGCAAGAGGACGCCGCTTAACGCGTTTCTTTCATGGTTACGGAAGTCTTTGGCAGCGCTGCAGTTACTTGCTCGAAAAGACTAGGTTGTTCGAGAGGAACTACACTAGCCTGCCTCCGGCTGGAGAGAATAGCCGGGGCGGAATTAAAGCGGAGACGTCAAGTCAGACACTTTCTGATCCCGGTAATGATGCTCTCGCAGTGTTTGCATACATTCACAGATGAAGTGAATTAAATGCAACATTTGTCAAATACACAGATGTTTCAGAAATGTTTTCATAAAGCAACAGAAACACTTTTTATACTGCTTAATACAGCGCCATCTGATGATTGTGGGTATCAAGGCAGCAAAGGATACACCTATTCTGCCTTTAAATATCGACCAGATGAGGTATCTCAGGATGCAGAAAGTGAAGCTAACATTGGATTCGACATGTCTCGATGCCTTCCTACCTTGAAATGTGTCCTCCGAAGGCAGCGTTTTCCAGTTTCGGATGCAGCCGTTAGTTCAGCGTTGATTCTGTTCCTGTATCAGACACGCTTGTTCTGTCTAGTCGCATTGGAAACATGCTTGTTCTTAAGCTTGGTTGTTATTGGGAACATGCTTGTTCTTAAGTTATAGCTGTATTGTTGGGAACATGCTTGTCCTTAAGTTATAGTTGTATTGTCGGGAACACGCTTGTCCCAGAGCTATCTGGTTGTTATTGGAACGTGTTTTTGGATGTGAGGAAAAGATAACCTTATTCAGTGTTATGTGAACAGTGGCTGCAATTTGTTTTAAGGCAGCAACGGAGTTTCTCAGCGTGTTTGTTTGTTCCCGTCATTTCAGTGACGAATGTTTTATAACAAGGTACATTCTGACACTGGACATCGTTTGATACTGAAAGATGGAGAAGCCCCAGCGATCAAAGATCCCGGTCATATAGGAACTGCTGTAAAACTGCATCAAATGTCTGTGATTGTTAGTAAGTGTAAGTGCTCGCGACTCTTCAGCTCCGCCCACGGCTCGCCTCCAGGAGCTCGGCTGTTTTCGGAGAGAATCGCAAGCTGCATCTTTCTTTTATAAATCTGATAAAACTGAAGACTCTTCGGAGATGTGAATGATGCAATACTACACTATAGGTATTCAAGATTAACATGAGATTGGCCAAAACTGTGTGTTATGTCCCCTTTAACCTAGTCAAGTCGACTTTATTTTTATA